AATGGCTTAAATTATTTTATTTGACTTGCATTAAAGGACAAGTTCGGTATTTTACAATTAAAGCCCTGTTTTAAGATCGTCCCTGATGAAATAGAAATAAGATTGTTTTTTAGACAGATGCTCCGGTCACGAGAATTTTTGGATTCTGTGTTAGCACCCCCCACCTTTTTAATGAAAGCATAGGTGCACTCGAACAATCATTCATTAAAACGCATAAAACTTTAGTTTACAAAGACGTGAAACTCACCGAGTGGTCTGGGGTGTTCACTGATATGCTCACAAAAAATCGCTGTAAAAAGATGGCTTTCCAACAGGTTCTATCGTAGTTTTTGTCCAAGTCCATTTCTTCCTGTTTTTGGTCGAAATCCACAGTAGTCTAATTGTCGAGTTTGCGTCGATGCGCGATCCTTAGTTATCTAGTTCGGAGTTTGCTGTGCGCGATCCTTAGTTATCTAGTTCGAGTTTCCGTGCGCGATCCTTAGTTATCTAGTTCGACCGAAAAACAGAAGAAAATGGACTTGGACAAAAACTACGATAGAACCTGTGGGAAAGCATCTTTTACAGCGATTTTTGTGTGAGCATATCAGTGAACACCCCAGACCACTCGGTGAGTTTCACGTCTTTGTAAACTAAAGTTTTATGCGTTTTAATGAATGATTGTTCGAGTGCACCTATGCTTTCATTATGCATATGAATTCATGAAATGAATAGTGGAATAAGTCATTATGTTTGCGCACAAAAAGTATTCTTGCCGCTTTTATAAACTTAAAATTGAGTCACTGCATGACTACTTTGATGATGTCTGTATTACCTTTTCTGGACAAGGACAGTATATTATACATACATTTTATTTGGAAGAAAATGGGATATCAAACAGTCGACTGTAGCCATTAGAAATCTACTATGGAAGTCAATGGCTACCGTCATTTGATTACCAACATTCTTTTAAAATATCTTTGTGTTCATCAGAAGAAATAAACTCACAACGGTTTGGAACAACTTGAGTGTAAACAATGTTTACACAATGTAAACAATGACAATTTTTATTTTTGGGTGAACTATCCTTTTTAGGGTGCTATAAACTGGAGTGCAGTTTTCTGTGAAATAAATTTGACTCTGTTTAACCTTTCACACGCAACTTTAAAATATTCTAGCTGACCACCCAGTGTGCGACTTTCATTTTAAAATATATCTCCTTATTATTTCCATGGCGACGTTTCGTGATTGTGAAAATGAAATGATGTCATTAATGACTCACCCTCATGTCGTCCCGAGCCCGTCAGAACTCTGTTCATCTTCAAAACACAGTTTATCATCTTCTTTATCGTCAAAGTAGAGAATGAGGCTGCGGATAACTGATTCCCATCTTAAGGCTTTGTGTCTGTGAACAGATTTATATTGTACCATTACACAACCTTTTATTCATACACAATGAACTCAATGAAATCAAGTGAGACACAAAAGCATTCATGCGCAAGGAACACTGATTTGAGTACTTAGAGCAAAGTGACTCTACTTCCTGTTCCTGTCTGCCTTGCATTTTGGCCAAAGCAGAACTGTCGCTGAAACTCTATCATCTTCAGTACAGATTCTTAATATTTGAAATTTAAGTTGTAATTTATGACTAAAATTCTAATTACTGAAATTTCTGAACTTTTGACTTTTGTCTGTTTAATACAGTAAAGCTACTTTAATGCAATCTATATTGTATTAAAAGCTATACAATAAATGTACATGCATGTATGAGAAATACATTAAGTATATCTTATTTAAAAAAATGTGAACAAGCACACTTTTGATCAAACACACCTGACTCAGTTTGTCCAGAAATGGCCTCAGTTGGTCCCCACAACACCTCCCATGGCCTTCATCAGGGCAATAAGTCTTGATGTGCATTGGTCAAGTCTGAACATGAATCTCTGCCCCATGATCGATTCTCCTGAATTCCTCCTTGATCTAATGTGACAAAATGATTCAAGAGTACAACAGCAGAAATTTGGTTAAATAGACTGATGCAGGGAGCAAGGGTTAATTATACAAGGACTGTAGATATCAACAGTGGAGTGAACAATCCAGCACTTTCTTTTGTAATGTGCAAATCCAAAAGAGAAACACTAATTTGGCATTTCAATTTTAACTTTGAGTTTAGTACATTTCAAGTTTATTTATTTTTTCATGTGCTAAATCAGTTACTGTTGTCAATATTAATATTGCCCATGATTGCCACTCACGATCTCTATTTTCTACAATCAACTTTTAGAAACAGGATGATTTTAGAAACGCAGCCCTGCTTACTTTAAGACCTCATTTATGCACGATTTAGTGCGATTGAAAAAAAAAAAAGCTTTATGTGTAAACGTTCCATCCTGAGCAATATTCAGCAAGAGCATTCAAACTTTTCCATAGTCAACAGTATAACGTTAAGAGCGGTTGACATTAAATTGTTAATTTTAAGGCCCAATTTTAGCTAGCTAGCAGTTAAAACGGTAAAGATTGTCTACTAATTTCTACTTAGTTTGACATTTTTACACGAAAAACAGTTCTTTGTGAATCTATAAAACTATTGAAAACTTCCGATTCAATATAAATAATGTACGTTAACGTTAGGAAGTGAAAAGGGGTTAACGATACAGTATACTGTTATGGATAACCCAACACGCGTTGCACTAATATGAGGCCATGTTGTAAGGTGAGCATTAATGTTTATTGAGTCAAATAAACAAGAATCATCAATCAAAACCCACACAGACTCATGTTTTATTAAATGTAAAACAGAAAGACAAACTTACCTCAAACACGACAGAAAGCAGCCACGCAGCAGCCGCCAATTCGTCTCGTCTCAGATCCAAAGTGCGCAGTTAGACTTGTCCAAACGCGCATGTGCGGATTCAAACGCGCTATGCTTTTCTATTAAAATTTACTTAAAATTACTATGTTTATGTGAAGGGACTATAAAACGTTTAAATATTACAAGAAAATATATAATAAGATTTACTCTTTCCAACCAGTTAATTTATTACATGAATTAAACGCGTAGATATTTAAAATTTTACTTAGAAAATTCTAGTTCACATTGAATTTTAATTTTATTAAGTAAAAATTATGATGATTCATTTAATATATATTACTACACCAAAAAGTTCGTTTTTACAGTGTGAGGAAAAACAATCCGAACGTGACC